CCATTATGGTGTGGATTAGCTGATCAAAGAAGTTATTTTCAATGTGCATGTCATCCAAGTTGTGACGGATGAGCAAATGCTTCCAATAAGGAAGTTCTCACAACGAGGTTTGCTTGAACCACCCTTTTTTTACTTTTTTGAGGTGTTTCAATGCCTCCGGTCCATCAGTTGCCTTTGGAAGGTGTCTCACACATTCCCACAATTCCTCACCTGACATGATGTGTGGCAGTGAACCTTTTTCGACTTTGGTTTTACAAAATGTAGTTTTGCTTTATCGAAAAGGGTGATCTGTTGGAAGGAATTGGCGATGGCAATCAAACCAAGAAACTTTGCCACCGTGTTCAAGCCAAAATGATTTGCTTTTATCCATACAATAAGGACAAGCCTTCTTACCCGCTGTGGTCCAACCAGACAACATAGCGTAAGCTGGGAAGTCACTAATGGTCCAAAGGATGGTTGCTCGAAGATTAAAATTTTGTTTCCTTGAAATGTTATAAGTATTTGCGCCAACTTCCCATAAATGCTTCAACTCTTCTACCAACGGTTGCATATACACATCCAAATTTCCCTTAGGGTTCTTAGGACCAGGAACGAGCAATGAAAGAAACATGAATTGTCTTTTCATACACATTGAGGGAGGCAAGTTATAAGGGGTCAATATGACAGGTCAACAAGAACATTGTCCCCCAAACTTACCATGAGGAGCAAAACTCCTTGTACACAAGCCAAGTCAAACATTACGAGGCTCATTGGAAAATTCTGGGAAGCAATTGTCGAGGTGTTTCCAAGCCTCACTATCACTAGGGTGCGCCATTGTGCCTTGAGCTCGAGGATTTTTCGAATTCCATGTCATTTCCTCCGAAATGTTCTTGGTTGCATAGAGCCTTTGCAATCTCGATGTGATCGGAAAGTAAATTAAAACATTTAAAGGCACTAAGCTACCTTTGGAAGTCTTCTTGTATCGGTCGCTACCACACACCCGACATGTAGATAGCTGAACATCATCCTTCCAAAATAGCATACATCCTTTTAGGCATGCATGAATTTTTTCATGAGGCAACTCCAACCCCTTTACAATCTTCTTCACCTCATAGAATGTATCGGCCATATGGTTATTGTTAGGAATAGCCTCATTGACCAAAGAAGCAAAACCATCAACACATCTATGGGGCAAATTATACTCGCACTTAAGACTAGTAATTCGGGGAGCCATCTCTAAGACAGACAATGAACTCCCTTCGTATAATGGTTGTTCGAAAGATTTTAACAAATCCAAGAAATGCTTAGCTTGTGCATTAGGCTCCTCCTCTGCCTCTTCAGAATGCCCTTGATCTTCATTATGACCAAAAGCATCGAAAATCATTTCACGGTATTCATTTGACGGCCCTTCAGGAACTCCCGCAAACCCTTCCCCATGACACATCCACTCATAGTAATTAGGCACAAAACCCTTGTGGTACAAATGAATTTTAATCGTTTCCGCATCCCATAGCCGCTTGTTCTTACATTTAAAACATGGACACCTAACTTCATTCGGGTTGCTGCTTTCAGGATGATCTTCCACGTATTTAAGGAATTGATCTACCCCTTTCACAAAATCCGGATTAATAGAATTTCCAACCTTCCTTTCATACATCCAGCTACGTTTTGTTCTTTTATGATTACAACTTCTACACAACTCACGAATATGTATAATTACATTAGTCACAATGCGTATTGAATATTCATTATCCATAAAAATGTTATGAATATGCAAATAATATTGTATGATGTCCAAAGGTCCTTATCACTCCAACCTAACCCATCCTTGGACATTTAATCTCACTAGCAAATGTATGCCAGGTTTTCAATTCTATGGAAAATCCGGCAGCTTTTCCCTTAAGTTCTCCAAGTACACGATCAAGGCTATTAGATAACCCGTCATATGTACCCAGAGAACATTGTAGAGAAATGACAAAGCAAGATAATCCCTAGAATCAATAACAAGGCATACATTCACCACCTAAGTTAGAATAAACGTCTAAGGACAGTCCCAACCGGGGACTATTCAAGACATACTCCTAATGAGTATGACTTGAACGGGTATCTAGGCAAATGATTATGCAAATGATTCATTCAAAAATATATAAAGCCAAAAACACATCCATTGTTATAACACATTCATTATAACACAACCATCATTATAACATGCTCATTTTAAAATATGCCAAGCAAATAACACAACCATTATAAAGTAAAGAACACAATTAATTAAATTAAAATAATAATTATAAGTAAACCAAATATATCATAATCATCATTAAATTAATATAAATAATCATATATAAACAATTAATATTCATAATTAAATTGATACAAAAAATTATTAATCATTACATTAACTAAACAAAACTAAAGAACATTACATTAAATAAAACAAAACTAACATACATTATAAAATTATCACAAATTAAACTAAGCTAACATACATCATTATATACTAAAATAAACCAATATAAACTAACATATAATCCTGTACATATTATAATAAAATATCAACCTAAACTAACATATCATGTCATACATTATTATACTAAATCAAAGCAATTTCACATGTCATGTCTTACATTATTATGATAAACCAAATTAAACTAACATATCAACCATTATTATAATAAAATAAACCAAAGTAAAGTAACTTAAAATAAAAACTTGAATCAACTAAACTAAGAATTTTTAAAATTATAATGTCACTAACCTCAAGATCTGCACTTTTTATTGAGATTCAAAGCAAGTAAATGTTCAAATCCTACAAATAGTAAAAATTAAAATGTCAATTTTTATTCGAAAAATATATATATATATGTATATATAAATTGCCGGTTGTAGAACGGCGGGTGGTGAAGATGGTGGTGGTTTTGGTCGGAGCGAGGACAATATTGGAGGAACCTGTCCAAAAAGGGTGGTGGTGGTTAGGGTTTTTAAAAAAAAACCAGAAATTTTTTAAATAATAAATAAATAACTAGAAATAAAAAAAAAATAAAAATAAAAACCAAAAGATACCGGCGGTGGTGGCTGATTGTAAAGGCGCCGACTGGATACCGGCGGCGGTGGTGTCTGTACAAAGCAAAGGTTGCATTTTTTAATTAAATTTTTTTAAAAAAATTAAATAAAAAAATAAAACACAAAACAACACTTACCGGCGGCGGAGAATTGCGTGGTTGGGCGACGCGGGACCTCTGACCGGCGCTGTGGTGGTTGTTCAAAGCATACGGTGGTGAATGGAGGCGTTTTTATAATTTAAAAAAAAAAAAACAAAATCAAACCTACACTTACCGACGGCTGACCAACGGAAGGGCTGGTCGACGTTTACCTCCGGTGGTGGATCTTCGGCTGCCGCCTAGGGCTGAGCGACGTTTTCTCTTCGACGGCGGCGGATCTTGCTGCTTCTCCCTTTCTTTCTTTCTCTCTCTTCCCCTTTTTTTCCTTTCATAGCAAATGGATTCAAAATTGAAAACCCTGACTAAGTCTTCCAAATTTTCTGACGGAATTAATTTTGGTCGGAAAATTAAATTTCCAACGGAATATTCCGTCGGTAAATTTGCGAGGAAATTTCCTTCGGAACAGCGATTTTTTGACGGAATTAAACGACAAACGTCCGTCGGCATAATTCGGTCGGAAACTGGCCATTTTCTAGTAGTGAAACATGATACTAGGAATCATTGTTGTCATTCAAAACATCAAGTTAAGGAAAGCATCCTAACATGATACTAGGAATCAAAATAACAACCTAGACATGATTTATATATCATAATAACAATGAAAACAATTAAAGCACTTACTTGGATGCCTCGTATCTCTTTCTAATAACAAAATACACACGTCAATAACTTCAAGGAAAATATAAAACAAAATCATTAAATTAAATAATTAAAAGGGAGATTTGGGACCAAACCCTCAGAAATTAAACCTTTCACATCTAGGGTGAAAGCAATTTCAAACAATGCTAGGTGTGTCTACATCTTGTGAATGCGGAATTTTTTATTTGAAAAGGCTAATTTGGAAAACAGAGAGAGAATCAAGAAACTCTTGATGAGACTTAGTGATTGAAAACGGAGGTTTTAGGAGGCTATTTATAGAGGAAATAAGCTGAATATGATAAAAAACGAATTAGAGATTCGAAAAGAATAAAACACGCGCATGTCGCCACACGACAGGGCTGTCGCTAGGTTTTAGGAGGTTTTCGCCAGACGCTGCGCGTGTCGCCATACGCCAGGTCTGTCGCCAAGCGACAGACGTGTCGTACGGCACTGCAATCAATTTTCCACGCGTTTTCTTATTTTGATAAAATTTAAGCGTACGAGAGGGTAAAACTGTATTTTCCTTCAAAACACTTCTTTTATTCTAATAAAACTCTTAAAAGTCAATTTATCAATGATAATTAAATTAGGATTCAAAAGGACCTTCTAGAATATTCTAGAAGACTATAATCAATCCTAACCACATTAGAAATGATAAATCAATAATAGGCCCTCTTCTAGATCATTGGGCCGCATATAAACATCAAATTGGGGCCAGTTTAGTAATTTGGCCGTAACTTCCTCATTATTCATCGGAATTGGGCTTATAATATATCTTTGGAAAGCTCTTTTCAAACCCGACCCAACTACACCATTATTAGACCCTTGCCATGGACCAAACCGAACTAGATTGGATTTTTTAATAAAATAGGTTTTCAAAAACAGAGAGAAAGAAAAGAATAAAAACTAACCGCAACACCAGACTTTCCACACTTTCACTTCATTCGATTATGATTCGACGTGAAAGGTAATCATCACCGGGTTTAGTTTTGGGGAGACACAAATAGGTGTCTACACAACACCCTTTTTATACAAAATCGGTTCATCCCAAACATAATGCCTATCCTCCCTCTTGAGCTTCTTTCTTCAATTCTTGGAAAATGAAGGAGGAAACTCCCCACAAGCAAGATAGTTCACAAAATCGGCAAACCATGGGAGTTCCTACTTATCTATATCATACAAAGAATCATCTAACATTCTATTTTCAATGAGAGACCCATCATCTTGAACTTGAAAATCCTCAAGTCTAGATAGATGATCCGCTACTACATTCTCCGCTCCTTTCTTATCTCTAATCTTAAGATCAAAAGTTTGAAGCTCTAACACCCAACGAATTAGTCTTGGCTTTGATTCTTTCTTCCCAAAAAGGTATTTTTGGCCGAAGGATCGGTGAACACAATTGTTTTGGACCCTAACAAATAGCAACGAAATTTTTCAAAGAAATGAACAATAGCCAAGAACTCTTCCTCCGTTGTAGTGTAATTCCATTGAGCTCCATTTAGAGTCTTGGACATATAATAAATCACATGAAGTTTCTTATTAACACTTTGACCTACGACTCCTCCAATAGTCGTGTCACTTGCGTCACACATACTCTCAAATGGTAAATCCCTTCTTAGAGCTTGAACAATTGGAGTGGAGATTAGAGCTTTATTGAACTTATTGAATTCCTCCAGACACTTACCATTGAATAAAAACTCGACATCCTTTTGAAGAAGATCATTGAGGGGCTTTGCAATGAGTGAAAAATCTTTAATGAATCTTCTACAAAGCCCGGCATGGCTTAAAAATGCTCTCACACCTTTCACATTAACCGGAGGTGGCAACTTTTTGATAACCTCGATCTTCGACTTGTCAACCTCTATTCCCTTGTGGGAAATTTTGTGCCCAAGGAGTATTCCTTTTTCAACCATGAAATGACATTTTTCCTAATTCAACAACAAGTTCACTTTCTCACATCTTGCAATTCCATGTAGTTTCTAACTACATCCTCAATGATACCTACAACCTTTTCCTCGGTCTTATTCATGATTGAGCCTCCAGCTCCGGCATCAAGACTTGCCCTCCCTTGAGGACTCAAACCGCCATAAAAAATTTGAATGATTAGGTAAGTGGGGATTCCATGGTGAGGGCACTCACGTTGATACTCTTTGTATCTCTCCCATGCTTCATAAAGGCTTTCACTGGATTTTTTCTTGAAACCTTGAATAAAAGTTCTTGCCTCCGCCATTTTCTTTTGAGGGAAGAAACGGGAAAGGAATTCCTTGGTGACTTCATCCCAAGTCTTCAAAGAATTAGGCTTCTGTAGACACCCATTTGTATCTCCCCAAAACCAAACCTGGTGATGAGTACCTTTCACGTCGAATCATAATCGAATGAAGTGAAAGTGTGGAAAGTCTAGTGTTGCGGTTGGTTTTTAATTCTTTTCTTTCTCTCTGTTTTTGAAAACATGTTTTATGAAAATAGCCAATCCAGTTTAGTTTGGTCCATGGAAAGCGTCCAATAATAGTATAGTTGGATTGGGTTCAAAAATAGCTTTCCAACGATATATTATAAGCCCAATTCCGATGAATAATGAGGAAGTTATGGCCAAATTAATAAACTGGGCTCGGTTTGATTTTATATGCGGCCCAATGATCTAGAGGAGGGCCTATTATGATTTATCATTCCTAATGCACTTAGGATTGATTATGGTCTTCTAGAACCTTCTAGAAGGTTCTTTTGAATCCTAATGTGATTATCATTGATAGTTGAATTTTAAGAGTTTTATTTAGAATAAAAGAAGTGTTTTTATAGAAATTACAGTTTTACCCTTCGTACGCTTAAATTTTATCAAAATATGAAAACGCATGGAAAAACTGACTGCAGTGCCGCATTACAGGCTATCGCGTGGCGACAGCGTCGTGTTTTATTTTTTTCGAAACTCTAATTCTTTTTTATCATAATCCGACTGATTTTTGTTATAAATAGCCTCCTAAAACCTCCGTTTAAATCACCAACTCTCATCAAGAAAATCTTGATATACTCTCTCTCTCTCTTTTTTAAACTAGCCTTTTCACAAATAAAAAATTCCGCATTCACAAGATCTAGACACACCTAGCATAATTCGAAGTGGCCTTCGCCCTAGATGTAAAAGGTTTGATTTCTGAGGGTTTGGTCCCTAATCTCTATTTTAATAATTGTAGGCGTCGCTCGAAGTGCGCCTACGTTAAAAGCATGTGGTGAATATGCTTGGCACTCATAGGAAGTGAGAATTGACATTACGATTAGGGACAAGGAAAGTAGGGAGCCGCCAACAATTTTTTAAGGAACTTGTAAACCGTTCACGGATCATAAAAGGCAACCACGAATACGGGACAACGAAGGCAACAACGATTGACCCGTGAAGGTTACACCCCATTCATAATCCATGAGATTACTAACTCCATATGGTTCGGAACCACGAAAGGAGGATCGGGGATGATGGTACTAAGTGAGTCGTGGAGTCACATTCGCCCGTATTGACCTCTACTCGATTCTTATATTGAAAAACATTCCTGTGATCTCAAAGGCATACAAACAAAATATTCAATTCGCTCCAAACTATTATTTAACTAAATTGGTTTAAAATTAATGCACACATATTTCTAAAAAGTTGGTGATCACTTCAATTAATAATAAGATTAAAAAGGATCCTAAACCGGTTGTTCAAATTATCTTATTAGGCGTGATTTTCAATTACATATTCCCTTTAAACATGCAATATGGTGATCATAATAAAAATAATAATAGAATCAACATTAATACCAATTTAATTAGGATTCCAACAACATATAAATCGTTAGAAAAATAATAAAAAGAGCATGATCCTTACTTTGAATCTGTTTGCTTGCAACTTCAAAATAATAAACGAGTTAGTAACTTCAAGAAAATAATAAAACAATAACTAAATTAAATTAAATAAAATAAGGTTGATTTTGGGGCCAAACCCTCAAACGATTCTACCTTTCACGCCTTGGCTTAAGGACAGAACCTCGAGTGAAATATGGACTCCTTTGAGTGCTTGAAGAAGGAATTTTGAAGTGAAAAGGGTAGGCTAGTGTTTAAGTTAATAGCATAGAAGAGAGAAACTAAGAATAACCAAATTCTGGTTGCCCCGTACATCAGAAATGAGGGGGTATTTATAGGGAAAATGTGCTGAAGGAGCACACGGAACCCTAAAATGATAAAACCCTAAAAAAGTATCCCGTGACACGGTCAGACTGTACCGTGACACGGTCAGATTGTACCGTGACACGGTCAGACTGTACCGTGACACGGTCAGACTGTACCGTGACACGGTCAGACTGTACCCCGTGTCACGGTCAGACTGTACCGTGTCACGGTCAGACTGTACCGTCAGACGGTACACTTTCCCGTGACACGGTACAGTTTTGGAGTGACGCGGGAAATTTTTTGAAAACGGAATGAAAAACGCGTTAAGGGTTTACGCGGAAAGGACACGGATCGTCCCGTGTCACGGGAAGTCCCACCGTCAGACGGGAAGGGTTCCCGTGACACGGTCAGACTGTACCGTGACACGGTCACTTCCAGTCCATTTTTCCGTCTAAATTCATTTTTAATCCTAATTTCTTTTGGCTTTTTAAGTGCCGATTGATAATTTTGGGCTTTTTTCTGACTTTTATTACTCGGGCTAAAATCAGAAAAAAAATAAAATAAAAATAAATAAAATGTTTGGGCCAAAAATAAATAATAAAATAATAAAATAAAAAGGTTTTGGCTTAAAATTAATTAATAAGCTTGGGCTAAAATTAAAACTATGCTTTTACCAAACATCAAGACTAATCCATGGTCCTTTCAAAGGTATGAATTTAATAAAATACGATTTTTTAAGCACTCTCGGGATTAAATACTAAACCCGACCAATAGTGGCGGTGAAAGGTTATTTATCATCGGGTTTGGTTTTGGGGAGACATTTTTAGGTGTCTACAGAAGCCCCCACTTTAACTGAGTTTGTAGAAACGTTAGTTTCGAAAACGATAGTCAAAGTAGTCGATAGGGACGGAGAATGATATAAGACGTTCTGCGATCCTAAATCATTCTGTATACGCCGATACCTGCAGAAAAATGGTAATTCCACAGATAAAAGAGTAATGGGATAGAATACGTATCTGGCACCAGTATGTCGGTGACAAACGAATTTGGCAGCTTCCTAAGCTTGAAGGAATCTACCGAGTGACATTGGTTGAAACGCTTTCCATGCTTGAGGAAAGCCGACTGAAGAGTTTGGCAGTTTTCTCAGTCTGAAGAAAGCTACCGGATAATACCTTCCATGCCTGAGGAAAGTCGACGAACAAATTTGGTGTCATTCTATTCTTGAAGAATTCCACCGATAATGCCTTCCATACTTGAGGAAAGCCGACAAAGGAATTTTGTGGTTTTCTATACTTGAAGAAAAATCCACCGATGATGTTTTCCATGCCTGAGGAAAGCCGACTTGGCGGTTTTCTATACTTGAAGAAAAAACCACCGATAACGCTTTCCAAGCCTGAGGAAAGCCGGCTGATGAATATGGTGTCATTCTATGCTTGAAGAATTCCACCAATAATGCCTTCCATGCTTTAGGAAAGCCGACTTGGCAGTTTTCTATACTTGAAGAAAAATCCACCGGATAATACTTTCCATGCTTGAGGAAAGTCGAAAGATGACGAGATTGCAAGTCTCTGTGTATCGAGAACCTTGCGTCATGAAATGATGGTGGTCCGCTTGTCCTCGGACGTGGGCTGTAGATGGTCCGCTTGTCCCCGGACGTGGGCTGTAGATAAGACCTGCAAAAATAAACTTGCCAATGGACTCGTATATACTGTGATTGACTTGACCACTAACTTGACCAAGTTTGACTTGATGTGACATGACATGTGTACGACTTGTGAGTGTGTGTCTGTGTGTATATGTGTGTGTGCAGACACAAGCAAACGAAGATGCAAAAGCAAAAAAAAATTCCGTCAATTTTTGTCATGAGTGGAGGGTACCGACTTTCTCCCGAAAAAGAAATATGTGAAAACTGAACTTTTATTTTCGAACTTCCTTCGATGAAAACTTGGAAAAAAGTTTTTTTTTGAACTTCCCCAAAATAAAATAATGAAAAGGGAGAGAAGTTTTGAACTTCCTCCTTGAGCAAGACGAAATGATTCGTATGGATTGAATTATTTGTCCTGAAAATAATGTATGCATGATGCGTGTTCTTAGGCTAGGAGGCTAAGGACAATTACATCATGTGACACGATAGATGAATGAACTTAAGTCATGGAGATAAGCATCATATATGGTGTAAAGAAGCGATTTTGAACGTCACTTAGGTCTGGAAGCTAAGCACGTATAGTGATTATTGCATAATGAACGTTGCTTTGGTCAAGGAGCTAAGCACGATATGCTCAAGACGAAATGATTCGTATGGATTGAATTGTTTGTCTTGAAAATAATGTATGCATGATGCATGTTCTTAGGCCAGGAGGCTAAGGACAATTACATCATATGACACGATAGATGAATGAACTTAAGTCATGGAGCTAAGCATCATATATGGTGTAAAGAAGCGATTTTGAACGTTACTTAGGTCTGGAAGCTAAGCACATATAGTGATTATTGCATAATGAACGTTGCTTAGGTCAAGGAGCTAAGCACGATATGCTTTGTATGATTAAAATCATTGATATATAAATGTTTCTTAGCACATTATGCGAAACAATGAACATTGCTCAGGTCAGGAAGCTAAGCAAGTATGCAATGTTTCTTCTACTGAATGTTGTCTTTAAATATGATGAAGCATGCACAGTGTTGAAACAAGATTTCATGATAAAGGGCTCTTAAAGGGAAAGATGATTGATATGGATATGGATGTGTGAGTGAAGTGTGTGAATGTGATACTAAGGCT